ACTACGACTACTACTACTACTACTACTACTACTACTACTACTACCACTACTACTACTACTACTACTACTACTACTACCACTACTGCGACTACTAAAACTACCACTACCAGTACTACTACTACTACTACTACTACTACCACTACTACTACTACTACTACTAATACTACTACTACTACTACTAATAATAATACCATTAATAATGCTAATACTAGCACTACTACTACTACTACTACTACTACTACTTCTACTACTACTACTACTACTACTACCACCACTACTACCACCACTACTACTACTACTACTACTACTACTACTACTACTACTGCTATTACTAGTACGAATACTACGAATACTACGAATACTACTGCGAAATAATAATAATAATACTAATAATAATAGAGGGAGGCCCACAACGAATCTGGATAGATTCCTTATGGGGCGGGGGGTCGTCCCCCCTCTGTTTCTGTCTCTGCTCTCTCTCTTTCTCTCTCTCTTTCTCTACCTCTCTCTCTCTCTCTCTCTCTCCCTCGCTCTCTCTCTCCCCCCCTTTTTTCCAAAAAACAATAATCAATCCCCCCTCCCCCCCCCCCCTCCCCCCCCCCCCCCCCTCCTCATCATCCTTCCTTCCCCCCTCGCCCCCCTCGCCCCTTTCTCTATCCCCCCCCCCCCCACCCACCCGCCCACCCCCCCGTGTCTTCCTCATCCTCCCTTCTCCTCCTCTCCTCATTATTGCCCCATCCTCCTCACCCCCCTTTCCTCTCTTCCCCCCTCATTCCCCTCCTTGTTCTCATTCCTCTCCCTCTCCTCCTCTTCCTTTCCTCCTCCCAGTCACAGAACAGGGAAGCAACAGGGATTGGCCCGTCTATCTGATCATACAATGAGGAGAAGGAGGAGGAGGAGGAGGAGGAGGAGGAGGAGGAGGAGGAATGGCAAAGCCATTTTTGGCGAAGCACAAACTGTTTAAATGCCAGCGTTCTCCTTAGCGCCGATGCTGTCGACGAGCTGTCGACGTTTGCATACGCTACGGCGCAGTTTGTTAACATATAGTTAACTGGTTGTGTATTGAGGGTAGCTTTCGACCACACAATCTCAATGTGACAGTCGACGATCCGTCGACGTTTGTCATCGCTACCGCACTGGCTGTCAACATACGCTTAACTGATGATGTACTGCGTGGTGGAGTTTGATCGCACGCCCCATCAAACGTGGGTCGACAATCAGTCGACGTATGTGTACGCCACGGCGCAGTCTGTCAACATACGGTTAGCTGTTCGTGAACTGCGGGGCGGTATACGATCGCTCGGTTCTAAAACGCAGTCGACGATCAGTCGACATGTATAGTTCCACGGCGCAGGCTGTTAACAATTTATATTACCGCGTGCCCTCTCTTTGCTTGCGTTTCGGCGTGCGCTTCTTAATCTTCCTGATCGACATGCATGGGCCTGGAACATATGTTCTGAATTTCTGCGCAGTGAATGCGTTGCGCCACAAGCAGTAATGATACAAGAAGCATCGGGATCGGGCGCGCTTCATCTTGGAGATCCATGTCAATTTGTCCAGGCGCGACCACAACTGCTCTGCCGCTTGGGAGTTCCATGTCTTCATATGGATAGCGGCGGGTGTATTACATTTGCGTTTCTTGCTGCGGTAGCCATCCAGGTAGCATTTGTCACACAAAAAACCTTCGAAATGCTTGGCGACCACGCATCCGCAATCGCATGCATACTTGCCAACGAGCATCTTAGTTTTCTTCATGTCAACTAAACAATCTTTCTTGTATGCTGTGTTTTCACCATTCAACATCTCTCCCATATGGAGAATTTCGTTGCCGCCTCCGCTGCGATTCTTCATGTTCAAGGTTGCATAAATCCCTCCAGTCTGCGCGCGTGCAATCTTGATGTTCTCAATCTGCGTGGCGGCCTTGCAACGCGATTTAGGCTTCGCCTTGGCCTTGGCGTCGGCGCGCATCTTCTTTAGCATCCGCTCAATCTTTTTCGCATTGGGGCGATCCGGGAGATTCTTTTTGGCGTGCTTCTTCTCTTTCTCCGCAAGCTTGCGATTGCATTGGAAATCTCCATCGGTTACGACACCCAACTTGCCCCGAGGGCGTTCGCATAGCGGGTCGCCCCTCGCGGCATTGAAAATTACATGGAGGCCGGCATTGTCAACGTCGAACACTTTGTCGCCATCCGGCACGGGATCGTTTACGTCAAAGTCGCACACTCCTTCCTGCAAGCGCAAGAGACAAAATATTGCTTGTAGAATATCAACGCCCAATCTCTTGTCGCCCTTCCCAGTGGACCAAGACTTGCCTGAATCGATGGCAGCATCGGGATACGACATCGATATAAGTGCGGCCTCCGCGCCTGCCGACACTCCTGCACGGCACATACGATGCCACATCTGAACCAGATAGTTATAAGTGAATCCGATCTGCGCATGGGTCAACGATGTGATTATTCTCTGCATTCGTTATCGTATTCTCCTTTGAGCCAGTCCTTGCGATATAGTTCAACTTATAACGTAAATTGCATTTCCCATTCGCGCACAGTTTGGTAGAGTGACGGATCGATTTCCATTCGGCACCGTTCCGCACAGTGGCGTCGTGCGTCCAGCAATGCCCATGCTTTTTGTTCGAGGTCCCATCCACTTTTTATGCAAGATTCAAGTTCGGGCCACAACGCATCGCTCTCCCGGGCCGTCATTAACTGCAGCTGCAGGGTGCCAAGTAGGCAGCATGTGCAGCTCGAGTTAACGGCTTGAGGTAGGAGGAGGAGGATGATGGGGAATGAGGCAACAAATTATCCTGGCGAAAGACCCAACCATAAGCAATTGTTGGTAACGCGTTGTGGGTGCCGCTTTCGGTGGGGCTCCATATGGGGCCACGAAGCGCTGCCTTGGATGGGGGAACCGCATGCGGACTGCGCCACCGGGGCGGGCCTTCGGTGGAGCTCCCTATGGGGCTACGAAACGCTGCCCTGGGTGGGGGAACCGCATGCGAACTGCGCCACTGGGGCCTTCGGTGGAGCTCCCTATGGTGCCACGAAACGCTGCCCTGGGTGGGGGAAGCGCATGCGAACTGCGCCACGGGGGCTTTCGGTGGAGCTCCCCATGGGGCCACGAAGCGCTGCCCTGGGTGGGGGAACCGCATGCGAGAGCAGCCACTTCGGTGGAGCTCCCTATGGGGCCACGAAACGCTGCCCTGGGTGGGGGAACCGCATGCGAAGCACCCCCACTGGGGCCTTCGGTGGAGCTCCCTATGGGGCTACGAAACGCTGCCCTGGGTGGGGGAACCGCATGCGAACACCCCCACTGGGGCCTTCGGTGGAGCTCCCTATGGGGCCACGAAACGCTGCCCTGGGTGGGGGAACCGCATGCGAACACCCCCACTGGGGCCTTCGGTGGAGCTCCCTATGGGGCTACGAAACGCTGCCCTGGGTGGGGGAACCGCATGCGAACACCCCCACTGGGGCCTTCGGTGGAGCTCCCTATGGGGCTACGAAACGCTGCCCTGGGTGGGGGAACCGCATGCGAACACCCCCACTGGGGCCTTCGGTGGAGCTCCCTATGGGGCTACGAAACGCTGCCCTGGGTGGGGGAACCGCATGCGAACACCCCCACTGGGGCCTTCGGTGGAGCTCCCTATGGGGCCACGAAACGCTGCCCTGGGTGGGGCCTTCGGTGGAGCTCCCTATGGGGCTACGAAACGCTGCCCTGGGTGGGGGAACCGCATGCGAACACCCCCACTGGGGCCTTCGGTGGAGCTCCCTATGGGGCTACGAAACGCTGCCCTGGGTGGGGGAACCGCATGCGAACACCCCCACTGGGGCCTTCGGTGGAGCTCCCTATGGGGCCACGAAACGCTGCCCTGGGTGGGGGAACCGCATGCGAACACCCCCACTGGGGCCTTCGGTGGAGCTCCCTATGGGGCTACGAAACGCAAACGTGCCCTGGGTGGGGGAACCGCATGCGAACACCCCCACTGGGGCCTTCGGTGGAGCTCCCTATGGGGCTACGAAACGCTGCCCTGGGTGGGGGAACCGCATGCGAACACCCCCACTGGGGCCTTCGGTGGAGCTCCCTATGGGGCCACGAAACGCTGCCCTGGGTGGGGGAACCGCATGCGAACACCCCCACTGGGGCCTTCGGTGGAGCTCCCTATGGGGCCACGAAACGCTGCCCTGGGTGGGGGAACCGCATGCGAACACCCCCACTGGGGCCTTCGGTGGAGCTCCCTATGGGGCTACGAAACGCTGCCCTGGGTGGGGGAACCGCATGCGAACACCCCCACTGGGGCCTTCGGTGGAGCTCCCTATGGGGCCACGAAACGCTGCCCTGGGTGGGGGAACCGCATGCGAACACCCCCACTGGGGCCTTCGGTGGAGCTCCCTATGGGGCTACGAAACGCTGCCCTGGGTGGGGGAACCGCATGCGAACACCCCCACTGGGGCCTTCGGTGGAGCTCCCTATGGGGCCACGAAACGCTGCCCTGGGTGGGGGAACCGCATGCGAACACCCCCACTGGGGCCTTCGGTGGAGCTCCCTATGGGGCTACGAAACGCTGCCCTGGGTGGGGGAACCGCGCATGCGAACACCCCACTGGGGCCTTCGGTGGAGCTCCCTATGCCCTGGGTGCCACGAACACCCCCACTGGGGCCTTCGGTGGAGCTCCCTATGGGGCCACGAAACGCTGCC